CCAGGTCCCACTGTAATATTATTATTGTTAGCTTAAAATCATGCTTTTGGTTGTAAAGTATTATGATTTTTCACATGCTTTGATGATCATTATTTATTTGAGCTCAACAACACTGCAAAATGGTGAGCAAAGCTAGTCATGCACTCATGCCATGCATGTGTGTGCTCAGTCGCTCATCCATGTCTGACTCTTTTTGTTACCCCATGGACTGCAGCCCACCAGGCTCCTCTGTCCATGGAATTCCCCAGGCAAGAATACTGGAGCAGATTGCCATTTCCTTCCCTAGGGGATCCTCCTGGCCCAGGCCTCAAACCACATCTCCTGAATTGGCAGGTGGGTTCTTCACCACTAGCGCCACTTGGAAAGCCCCGCTCGTGCCATAGCTTCTTAAAAAACTTCAAGTACAATTTGGATTACCTTTGCTTCTGCTACTGCTGCTAAGTCGCTTCAGTCCTGTCTGACTCTGTGTGACCCCATAGACAGCAGCCCACCAGGCTCCCCCGTCCCTGGGATTCTCCAGGCAAGAACACTGGAGTGGGTTGCCATTTCCTTCTCCAATGCGTGAAAGTGAAAAGTGAAAGTGAAGTCGCTCAGTTGCGTCCGACTCTGTGCGACCCCATGGACTGCAGCCTACCAGGCTCCTCCGTCCATGGGATCTTCCAGGCAAGAGTACTGGAGTGGGGTGCCATTGCCTTCTCCATAGAGGAATTTCATGTATATTTCCTTTATGAAGATACAAATTTTTTTGGTATAATGAGAAGGTAGAGGGAGACATTGGTTACACTTGGGCAGGTCTTGCAATCTGGCTCCCATAGCAGCCAACTTGAGCCAAGCATTTGAGAGCAGCCAGCTCCTGTGTACCGTGGGGGGGATTCCACTATGGAGGGTGGGGATGTGGGGAAGATGGGGCTGGGGGAAGGGGCAAGGGAGGCAGCGGGTCAAAGTGCATTATGAGGCCTCTCACATGGAGGCCTGTACGGGGAGGCAAGGAGTGTCGACTGAACAATTCACCAACACAACCCAAACTCGACCTCCCAGGTCCTATTCTGGTTCTTCATCCCTAAATATGAACCATCAAGCAAGAACCATAGGCCACTTTAGAACAGGTATAAAAAAGAGAAAGATGGGCAGATGACGAAAAAGATGACCCTGGAGAAAACTTGAGAGGATTCAGAAAGTAGAACACTTTTTAAAACAATTAGTTTTTCCAGAGAGATCTGAGATGGTATTATCTATATCAAATATTAACAGGTCAGCTGTGAGAAAGGAACAAGTAGAAGTGAACACTTCGGGGAAATGTTTTAAAATATGCCATTCATCACACACACACACTCACACACACACTTCTGCTAACTGTGTGTGGTGACGGATGTTAAGTAGGCTTACTGTGGTGATCATTTCATAATATATGCTCTTAACTAAGAGACAATAGGCCCCAGATAGAGTCACTTGTGCTAAGTCCATATCGCCAAACTGAGACTTAATAATTAATTAAAGTGCGTCCAGAATTGTAATCTTAACCTGTCCATCTGGAATTTCCCGGTCGGCACTAGTGAGGTCATCTGCCAGCTAGACCCCTGCCATCCCCCAAAGGCAGGTGACCTTGCCTGAAACAATCCACTCTTTGCTGTTAACGTCCTTATCCTGCCTTGTTCTGCCAATAAAAGTCTTCCATTTTGTACAGCAGTTCAGAGCTCCTATCTGCAAGATAGGATGCTTCCTGATTCATAAACCATCGAGTAAAGCCAATAAGAGCTTTACATTGACTTTAGCTGAATTTTTTTTGAACACTACAAATAGAGAACAATAGAGAACAGATTTATGGACATGGTGGGACGGGGTGGGGGCTTGCAGGGGTAGGAGAGTGTGGGATGTGTGGAGACAGTAACATGGAAACTTACTATATGCAAAATAGACAGCCAGCGGGAATTTGCTTTATGACTCAGGGAACTCAAAACAGGGTCTCTGTATCAACCTAGAGGGGTGGGGTGGGGAGGGAGACGGGAAGGAGGTTCAAGAGGGAGGGGACATATGTGTACCTAAGGCTGATTCATGTTGATGTTTCACAGAAAACAACAAAATCCTATAAAGCAATTAACTTTCAATTAAAAATAAATTTTAAAAAAGAAAAAATTAAAAAAAATACAAATGTCAAATCACCCATTATGTTGCACATCTGAAACTAATATATGTCAATTAGATCTAAATTTTTAAAAAATGTGATTGCCAAAAACTAAAGTGTTGGAAGGCTGAGAGATAAATTAGAATATGGATAGGTGGAGAGACAAAGAGAAGGCACAAGAAAATAGTTTAGAAAAAATATGAGCATTCTAACAGAAGTCTCCAAAAAGCAAAATTAAAGAATTTTTTAAAGTCCTAAGAGCCCATCGACCTTAATCCCGGGCTGTCATCTGTCATCTCCCGTTTTCACCTCCTCTGAAGACACCACTGTGGTCCACACTCCCTCACGACCCTTGCTCTCTCACACTGTATTGTTAACTTCAAGATCTACGCTGGCGAACCAGAAGATACACCATAGCCACATATGTCCTTATCCTCTTTAGATGGATATATAGTCATTTGAAATAAATATATTTCCCAGTCTCCCTTGTAGCAAGGTGTGGTCATGGCCACAGAATATAAGCAGAAGTGCTGTGAGCAACTTTAAGAGGAGGAAGTGCATCCTTTTCTTATCCTCCTTTTATGCCAGATGGAGTGTTGACTTAATGACTAGAGCCTGGCAGCCAACTTGGACCATGCGGTGAAAGCTACCTACTGAGGACATGGAACAAAAAGATTGAAGCCTGACCCCTGATACCACAAGCTACCATGACCTTCATGAGCTGCTTGTTTGTGAGAGAACAACAGCCATCTTGTTTAAATCGTTTATATACAGTTTAACCTAGTCCTATTCTCAGGAGGTTTCAAAGATGTCTCTCAGGTCACACAGTTAAGTAACTGGCAGAGCCAAAATTGAATGCAGACCATTTTATTCCAGGGCCCATAAAGTGGGCTCCGCCCCATCTCGAGGCCTTACAGAGGAGACAGCACAAGGGACTGCAGTCCTGAGCTCTGGAGGGGGCAACAAGAAGCCAAGTGAGTATGCGGTGGAAAAGGAACAGCGAGAGGAGCATACAGCAGACAGAGTGGACGAGCTTCACCTCACACCTGGCAGCCCCATTCCCACGGTGCTGCGGCAGAGGAGAGAGGGAAAGCTGGCCCTTGGGTTGAACCATGATTGGTTGGTTCAACAAGGTGGGGGACAGAGGTGTTCGCATACTACTTCTCTGTTCTTCTCAGCATGTCTGGATTATCTTTTTTCATCTCCTCCACTTAGGTGCGGGGTTCCCCCGTCTCCCAGCTACTCAGACACCGAGCTTCCCCAAACAGAGTCTCCTCAAGCATCTCTGTTTTCTCTCCAATGGCTCTCAACCTTTTGCCTTCTCACATTTGTTTCTTCCGAGTCTTCACTAGGCTTCCTTAGTGAGTCAGTTGGTAAAGAATCTGTCTGCAATGCCGGAGACCCAGGGTTTGATCCCTGGGTCAGGAGGATCCCCTGGGGAAGGAAATGGCAACTCACTCCAGTATTCTTTCCTGGAGAATCCCCATGGACAGAGGAGCCAGGCAGGCTAGAGTCTGTGGGACTGCAGAGTCGGACACGACTGTGCGACTAACTTTCACTTTTCACATCAATCTTAACACCTAACCAGGGCACCGCTCACCTCTCCTCCCCTCACTGTTCACCCCCACCTCCTGCTTTAGCCTCTACCCGTGGCTCCTCTCCCAACACCCAGGTCAGGCCTCTGACAAAGGCCTTCTAAGCCTAACAAGTCAAAGCACTTGTCAGATCTCCTCTTTGGAAGCCCCACCCTGAAACTACTCTTTCAAAGATAAACATCGCCCTACTTGCCAAACTGAATGCGTTTTCCCCAGTTTTTCTTCCCCTTAAATCTCCAGGGAGTTTGTCCTCTCACAGACCAGGCCTCATCTTCTTAAAATTCTCCCTAATTTTGGCTTTCACAGCAGTGATGGCTGCACCTGCATCCCAAGCCAGGGACAAGTCAGACTGAACTGCCACCCCCAGGCCAAGCGAGACTGCCCTCTCGGCTTCCATGTCTATCTCCGCTCTTCTACTGACAGCCCAGGGGAGAAAGGAAGCTACGTCACAACACCGAAATACACAGTTCTTTCATCTCCTCGTGATATGCACCCAGCTGTGCGGCTCTCGCGGCGCTTCTGGGACAGCAGACAAGCTTCCAGTTTGAGCAGCAGTCTCAGCACCTGTGTTTTCTCAGGAGTCTGACAGCCATGCTCCCCACAGCCCCAGCGACTTGCTCTGTGAAGCCTCCAGGGGCTCAAGTCCCGGTAGGAGGGGGAGATTCTCTTTGCAGCCTGTGAATGATGTAGAGAGAAAAAAAAAGAAGGGACTCCCTGGTGGTCCAGTGGTTAAGACTTTGCCTCCCAATGCGGGAGTTGTGGGCTCCATCCCTGGTTGGGGAGCTAAGATCCTAACAGTCCTCCAGCCCAAAAAAACAAAACACAAAACAGAAGCAGCATTGTAACAAATGCAGTACAGATTCTTTAAATGATCCAAGTGGGAAAAAAAAAAGAAAGAAAAAGGAAAAACCAATCTGCACCCCCACCTCGCCCCACGCAGTGCCCAGAGAGATGACCACAGAAGGGAAGGAGAACGGGTTCCTGGGCTCCCCTCCGGACCCCCCCCACCCCCCCGCAGCCACTGCTGAGAACCAGCACCGCGCATTCCTCCCGTGTTTTGGCAACAATCTTGCAGTGTTTCTGACCACAGCCAGCCCGGCACCTGCCCAGCTGTCAGCCAGCATGCCTCTGCTTAGGAAACCTAGTTCAAGAAAACGATGCAGAAAGGGGTGCATTTAAGCCCCTCTCCTTCACAACTGGGCAGATCTCTTCCCTTCCACCGCCAGAGCACACGTTCTCCCGGGAGAGGGAGGGGAGGGCCCACACTGACAAACAGACCAAGCACTGTGACAGGATTCAGCTATTTATTGATGGTGATATTAAGACACTTCCCAGCAACGACTGCCGTGACAAGGACTCTAAAGGTAATAAAATAATGATGACATCATAGACAAAGCGTTGGGAACATTCCTTGCAGAGAAAATTGGCTTTTCCTCTCCAGTCAGAGTGACCAGGCGCTACATGCCATCCCGGGCCTGGCCTCCTGGTCCCAGATATCCTTGCCTCGTCCTCTGTCTGGGCCCTCCTCTGAGGATGCCAGACTGGGGGTTGAGAGCAGGGCGCCTTCCCCGGGCACCCCACGTCTCGGAACTCTCCTCAGCTCCTCTGGCCTGACTTTCTGGGTTTCCTGCCGGTGAGGCGAGTGCTCACGAGGAGGTGAGCCACGCCTGGTGACAAAACCACTAGCACCACAAAGCTGGTCCTTCCTCTTCACAAAGTTAACACAACCCTTTTTCATTCTCATTTTCTTTTAAAGGAAAGAAAAGTCTTAAAAATATATGGCACTAGAGTGTAAAATTATACAGCTGCCTCCGGTTGCCATTTCCTACAGCTTCCAGCCCATGGAGCCCGCTTCCCCTCAGATGTAGAGCTGGTGGGAGGCCAGGGTATCCATGAAAGGCCGCACCAGGTTGTCCGTGGAGAAGTAGAAGATGAGCCCGAACGTGATGGAGATGGGGAGGGCGGGCAGCGCCTTCTTGAACACGGCGAGCAGCAGGAGGGTCAGACACAAACCCTGCAGGACACAGAGGCAGGGGGGCATGAGGAGGTGACCACCGGTGTGGACAGGGGGAGGGGAGCAGTTAGTGACGGCCCAGTGTCTGGGCTCAGGAGCCCTGACACCCCATCGTCTCCCCTGGTCCTCTCGGCAGCTCTGGGAGGTCATGGGGGCAGAGGCCCTCAGCCAGTACTAACGCCTTACACATGAATGGATGAACCGGCAAGCAGCCCTCCTGAACTGGGCCGCTGCTACCAGACCACCTTCCCTGGCCATGTGACGTGTGACCTGATGGCATGAAGCCTTCCCCCAGGGAACACGTATTTACGCAAGAACTGGGCGGGTCTGACTGAAAGGCAGCAGTGTTCTCAGCCGACACCAAGGGAACCAAAATGCCATGTGACACGCCCCCTGCCCCCCACCACAAGCAGGCGCAGTGGTTGCCTATCCTGTCCCTGCCCCAGCCGATGCAGGCAGTGGTCCAGGGTGGGGACAGGGAACCAGTGCCTGTCCCCTGACTGGGGAGAGTAGGGTTTCAAGGACAGTCTGGAAGTGGAGGAGCCTGGGTGTCCCCAACCCTGTCCTTGACACACACTGTGGGCAAAGAGAAATGTCCAAAGAACCGGAGCCTTGGTCCTAAGAAGCCCCGTGATGCCCAAGGTTCGCCAGGCAGACACTGAGTATGGGCCGTTCAGGGCCTCCACCTCCACCAATCATCACAGGATGCGTCCCCATTACGTGTACCTGATCATGACAAGTGACTATGTGTGCTAAGCCTCTGCAGTCGTGGCCAACTCTTTGTGACCCTATAGACTGTAGTCCGCTGAGCTCCTCTGTCCATGGGATTCTCCAGACAAGAATACTGGAGTGGATTGTCATTTCCTCCCCCAGGGGATCTTCCTCACCCAGGGATCGAACCTGCATCTCTTGCGTCTCCTGCATTGGCAGGTGGGTTGTTTTATCACTAGCACCACCTGGGAAGCCCTTAAGTGACTATAGGGGCCTTCAAATTTCACCACTGGGGTTCAAAGTGAGGGGCCCCCTCTCAAGCCCCAGATCCCATGGGGACTCAGAACCACATGATGTCTGGGTGGTGTGGAGGGAAAACAGGCAGCCCCGGAGTCAGAGACCCGGGTTCAAATCACAGCTCAGGCCTCGCAGCTTTGTGCCCACGGCCAGGTCCCCACCCTGCTCCATCTTTCAAACATCTCAGGTCACCATGCCTACCTCACAGGTGTGGCGAGACAAACATACAGAGTTAGCCAAGACCTTGGCACCCAGCACGCACACTCAGTAACACCAGAACCCCTGGTCACCCTCCCTGCACCATGTCCGCGTCTACTGACGACCAGATCCTCCTGTGAACCTTGGTCTCATCTTGAGGATCTTTCTGGCAACCCTGCCCAAAGGACTTTGGCAAGCCCTTCCAAGGGATAGCAGCATCAGAAAACTCCCTGGGGTACCCTCAGGGGCCCCCACTGCCCAGGGGTGGGTGGGGAGCCACCCAGGCTCACTCACGATGAGGATGGCCACAAAGCAGGCCAGTGTGGTGTTCCAGTCCCCGCTGCCCGTGGCGGCTGCCTTGCCCACCAGCACGCTGTAGAAGATGAAGTCTCCGAGGCCGAGCTTCACGCCTCCTGTGTGGTGGAGACAGGGGAAGCCTGTAGGTCTCAGAAGCCCCCGGAGGAAGCAGCAGAGAAGGCTGACCCCAGCCGAATGGCCTAGGCACTTGGCCCAGCCCAGGGGACCCAGGGCCCAGAGGCCTGGCGACCTCAAGAGGGCTGATGGGCGGTCTCACTGCCTAGCCCACCTCACCTGGACTCTGGGACAAGGATTAGCTGTCTCAGAAAAACAGCAGCCAGCGGGAAAAAGGGAGAAACCTGTGGCCTGGGTGACTTGCATTCTGGGCTGTGCAAAGCCGACATCTCTGATAATTCGCGCAATACTGGTGCTTGGTACTTGGTTTGAGTAAAGACAAGAGTGAATAAAATCCACTGTCCAGGGCTGGTGGGAAGTTACCCAACCTAGCACTGAGTATGAATTATAAATGCTTTTTAGGAAATTTAATTTCATTGCTTCCAAGAATATATATGATACCCGAGGTCCTCTGGAGACTAATGTCTCTTTAAAAGAGGTAAACGTATATTGTAAATCAACTCTGTTGTTGTTGTGTAGTCGCTAAGTCGTGTCCGACTCTTTCAGCCTCATGGAAATTTCCCAGGCAAGAATACTAGGGTGGATTGCTATTTCCTTCTCCAGGGGATCTTCCTGACCCAGGGATCAAACCCACTCTCCCACACTGCAGGCAGATTCTTTACCACTGTGCCACCAGGGGAGACAAAGGTAACTTGTAACTAGTGTATCCATTACTGAAAAGGAAATGAGTTTCTAGGATGTTTTGTTTCCTTCAGTACAATTGCCCTGTACACCTTCTTACAGGATAATTTCATTCATCACGGACAATAAAAATGCTTATGAAACAGACTGGAATCCAGCGGGTCTGCATCAAGGAAACATGCCCTGCCCTGTCTCACCCTACCCCACCCCCTCCACTCTGGGCTCCAAGCAAGAAGCACCTCACCTTCGTCTGTTCTTTCCTTCACCCCTCCACCCCAACTTCCTCACGTTGGCAACCATGTAAGCCCTGCCCTCTTACAGACCTGCTCTTGCAGGTCTTGCTACCACCCCTGCTCCTGCTTTCCACCCACCACACCCCTTTCCTGCCTGCTTTCCCTTCCCTTCTCTCTCCTTTTTCAATCAGTTCTTTCTCAAAGGAACTGCGCTCACCTCGCAGGCACTTCAGAGACCTGAGGCAGTAAGTCCCACATCCCCCAGTCAATGTGCTCAGGCAAGGCCACCACCCGGCCCCCGTGGACACCCCCACGCTGTCTATCTCAGCACCCTGCCCTCTGTCTGCTCCCCAGGATCCTCCACAAGCGACCTTCCCTTCATCCCCTTAACACTGCCCACACTGGCCCTCTGGCTCTCCACTCTGACCCTGCACCCTTCCTGGGTACCTTCTGGGGACCCACAGTTTTGACAAGTATATCCCGGTGACTCCTCGGGCCTGGAACCCTGACCTTCCTGAGCACTACTCCCCCCTCGTGTGTCTCTGCCTTCTCTGCCTAACGTCCTCCAGAGCCTCCCACCTGCCGGCCCCTCCTCTCATCACTCTCCCCGCCTCCCTGCCCATCCCTTGTCCAGCCGGGTCCTGTGGGTGCATCCCAGGCAGGTGGTGATGCCCGAGTCAGGCCCTTCTGGCTCTTCCCTCACCCGGTCCTTCGGCAGTCTGTGTTCCCGCTGCCACCTGGGATCTGTCTGGGATGCAGCTCTGCTCACTTTAATTTCCTGCAACAAATGCCTAATGGCTCCCCATGGCCTCCAGGATGAAGTCTGAGCTCCCAGGAGTACCGCTCACCTTTGAAGATCTGGCCCCCAGCTTCTCTGGCCACCAAACATCCCAGAGCTTCCAGATGGCTTCCTCCCCTCTCATCTGAGCCTTTGCCAATGCTGCTGTGGAACAGAATCTAACCAGCCTTTGTCCCTCATTCTGGGAGGGAGATCAAATCCTTGGAATTTCCCCAGTGAAGGAAGTGTCTCTGTTGTTGAGCAGCCCCTTGGATCATTTATGCAAGTGAGAGGATGGCGCTGCTGCTGCTGCTGCTAAGTCACTTCAGTCGCATCCGACTCTGGGCAACCCCATAGACGGCAGCCCACCAGGCTCCTCTGTCCCTGGGATTCTCCAGGCAAGAATACTGGAGTGGGTTGCCATTTCCACTGGTCACCAGAAAGACCAACCATGTGAAAAGGAGGTTGCGACTCCAGGCTAGGCTGAGTCTGGGGAGAGGAGGCAGCCTGGAGATGAAGTCCAGTGTCATGAGCAAGGACTCAATCCATTATGCCTATGTAATGAGACCCCAGTAGAAACTCTGGACACTGGAACTTGATACACACATCCATGTGCAGGGGTGGGGATGATTCCTGGACCCCAGGGAATCACCAGACCTCACCCTATGTGGCTCTTCATTTGGCCGACTGGTCCTCATTTATATCCTTTATAATGTCAATAAAACTGTAATGGTAAGTACAGTACTTTTCTGAGTTTCGAGAGTCATTCTAGTAAATTTTCCAACCTGATGGAGTTGTGAGAATCCCCAGATTTGTAGCCAGTTGGTCAGAAGTGTGGGTGACCTGGAGACCCCCAGAGCTTGTGGCTGGCATGTGAAAGGTGGGTGGTCATGTGGGGATGGTGCCCATGTGGGATCCGTGCTGATTCGGGCGGGGGCTCAGCGCCAGGCCAGTCTCTGGCCCAGCTGCCTGTCTGCTGGATGACTGCCGACTTGTCCTTCCAGGCCAGCCTCCAGCCTATCGTCTTCCTCACATCTGTCCTGAGTACTTTTTACCTAACCCCCCCTGACTTGGGCTGCTCCATGGGGAACTTCTCAAGGACAGCAGCTGTGTTAACCTGGCAGCATCCCCCTGGCTCCCACGTGCCTCCCAGCACACACTAGTGGTCCATAAATGTGTGCTGATTGGTTATTTTAATCTGCTTGGAAACATAACCATATATCAGAAGGTCTTTGGGTGTGTCTTCAAGATTGTCCTCCATACCTGCTCCTTCTGCTCCCAGCCACTCGGGGCTCTCCTGGGGGAAGCCTGCACCCCAACTCTGCCCCTGCCTTACGCTCCACAGCCCCAGTGAGGAGCAGTGCTGTTGGCACCGACCTGCCCAGCCCAGCTCACCCCCAGAACACAGAACAGAGCCCACATCTGTGACCCCGCGGCTGCACTGGGACGTCCTCTGGCTACTCGAGCGCACACTCTACCAGCCACAGCCCTGCCCTCCTCATCGTCTCCTCACTCCCGCACAGCTCAAACCCCTCCCCGTCCCATGGCTCCCACTGTTCACAGGACGCAGATGAGAACCCCCATCTTGATTCAGAAAACCCCTGAAGCCCCTGCCTGTCTCCCGACTCCATCTCTGCACTTGGGTCTCAGCATCCTGCTTCCACTTCCTCTAAGTCAGCCCCAGGGTCACTGCTCCCAAAGCGCCCTAGGCTGGAAACTGACCCACACTGCCCCCCCAGCACTGTGTATCCCCGTCTGTGTCCTCAGCCTCTGGAGCTCAGCTCAGAAGTTACTTCCTTAAGAGACTTCCTCTGACCCCCTCAAGCAGGTCAACAGCCTTGTCAGGGCCCCTACCACCCTATGTTCTTCTGCACAGTCCAACCAGCTCCCGAGAGAGTGGTTAGGGCCCACACCTGCATGGCAGCACCCCCAGAGCAGCACCCGTACAATCACCCCCCAGTGCAGAGTGGGCACATGACCAACAACTGTCACACACAAGGTGCAGGCTGGGCATTAAGTCCCTGTGGCCTGCCCATAGGACTGCGCCTTGGCAGGCTTCTCCCTGACTTTATGAAGCATCTCTGATGTCAAATGGGCTTCTCCCTGACGTCAGGGAGCCCCACCCTCAGCCCACGCAGACAGTCCATCTGGACACCTTACTTTCCTCCTCTTCCTCCAGCTCCTCCCCCGGGTAGCCAGGCAGTGGGGGCTCAAAGACGTCAGGGTATGAGGGCTCCCCAAAACTGTCATAGGAGTCTTCTTCTGGGTGTCCGTTGTCATGTGAGGAGGGAGAGAGACAAGAGATGGTTAGAGGGTTCTCTGAGCCCAGGGCTTCCCTGCCCCACCCTGCACCATGCCCAGCCCAACACAAAGAGGATTCTCCAGACCACACTGCAAGGGGAGGGAAGGGAGAGAAGCAGGTCTGAGACAGATGAGCAAAGTCCCACCCGCACCCGATCCCCAGGGTATGCGTGCCAGAGGGGTTAGGCTTCCCTGCCCGTCCTGTCCTTATGCCTCCCAGAGAAGCCAGGCGGAAAAGCAGCGCCCCCCGTGATGACAGGCTGTCAGTCCCCTGATACTCACCCATTTCTGGGTCATAGGGGAGCTGCAGGGCTCCCTGAGAGGAAGGGTCCAGCTTGGCCATGCCCACGGTCCACACCATGGCGGCTGGGGAAGGAGAAAAGGGTCCAGCCTCAGACAGTACTAACTGTGGCTGCCCCCGGGGCCTGGGAGGCAAGTGGGACAGTCTGTGTCCCCAAAAAGCCTGCACGGGACCCTCAGTCCCTGTGGGTATTCGCTTATGGCCTCTGAGAGGGGGCCTCTGGGGGTCCAGACTCCGCTGCACATCCAACACCCAGCAGAGCGCCCACCACAAAGTGCCCGCCATCAGTGCATGCTTGCTGATGCTTTCATAAATAGAGATCCCTGCACACTGGCCCTGAGGCCAGCAGCAACCCCGGGAGTGCTTCTTTAGAGACTGAGCTTCAGTTGTTGAGAAAGCCCAGGGAAAGGTAGGCATCCTGCCACCCGCCTCCCCAGACCCCTGCCCTGAACAGTCCCTCCCCAAAGTCCCTTTCCAGGGGCCTAGAGGGCTGAGTGCGAGGTCTCGGGCTCATGGGAACGCGGCCCATGCCCACTGCATGAGCCTGGATGAGATGAAACTGTGCGCGGGCCACATTCCTGGAAGCCCTCTTCCTGCTCTAAATGTCCAAGCTTCTTCCTGAGCCACAGCAGGACGAAGCCCACCTTCATGTCGGGAAGGTGGACCCCTCCTGGGATCACCAAGGCTGCCTCCCCTCCTTTGATCAGGAAAAAGGTAAACTGTCTCCCCATTAACTCTGAAAGCCACAGCCGATGCAAACCTTGGTTCCCACGTCTGAAGGAAGCACAGGGGTCACTCACATGAGTATATGAGGGCAGGGAATATGGGCTCATTTCTCTCCTGGGCGGTTTCCACCAGCATCCTCAGTGGTCCTTTGGGGCATAGCACAGCCACAAGATCTGGGAAAGCAAAGTCATCCCTGGCACGTTAAGAAAGACATTTATTTCCAGCCAGCCCCCAGACAGGAGTCAGTGCTCTGACACCAGGCCCGGGTGAATATATCCTGGAACCTCAGGGCAAGGCTCTCCAGCCACGCCCCCCTGTTTCAGCAACCCCACCCTTGGGTTTCAGCCTCGATCCCTAGAGCCTGCACTGGCTGGAGCCCATGGTGGGGTCTAAACGGGCTAACTGCAAACAGGGACTGCTGTGTGGCTCAGAGACCCAGAGGATGGGCTTGAAGTCCCATTTCTCTGAGCCCCAAATTCTTTATCCTAAGAATGTAAGAAGCAGTACTGGTGATGGTAATCTAATACAGTCCGACTTTTCAGATCTCTGGGTTCTGTATCCATAGATTCAACCAGCCATGGATCAAAAATTTCAGAAAATAATTCCAGAAAGCTCCCCAAACCAGAATTTGCTGCATACTGGCAATTATAAATGTCATTTACATTCTATTAAGAGCTATTTATTGGAGAAGGAAATGGCAACCCACTCTAGTACTCTTGCCTGGAAAATCCCATGGATGCAGGAGCCTGGTAGGCTACAGTCCATGGGGTCACGAAGAGTCGGACATGACTGAACGACTTCACTTTCACTCTCACGTGTTGGAGAAGGAAATGGCAACCTACTCCAGTGTTCTTGCCTGGAGAATCCCAGGGACAGGGGAGCCTGGTAAGTTGCCACCTATGGGGTCGCACAAAGTCAGACATGACTGAAGCAACTTAGCAGCAGCAGCAGCAACAGCTATTTATATATCACTTATATTGTACTACATAAGTAATCTAGAGATAATTTAAAATGTTCAGGAGGGGACATCCCTGGCCCAGTGGTGAAGACTTCGCTTTCCAATGCAGGGGGTGTGTGGGTTCGATCCTTGGTAGGGTAGCTAAGATCCCACATGCCTCACAGCCAAAAAGATCAACATATAAAACAGAAAGAACATTGTAACAAATTCAGTGAAGACTTTAAAAATGGGCCACATCAAAAAACAAAAATCTTAAAAAACATACAGTATTTGGGAGGATGTACATAAGTTATAAGCTAATCCTATGTCATTTTATGTAAGAGATTTGAGCATCCTTGGATGGTACTTCAGGGGATTCTGGAACTAGTCCCCCAATGATACCGAGGCAAGATTATACTAATTAAAGAGCAGCTCGTATTTGGGGTACTCATTTACTGGTACTGTGCCCAATCTCAGGGTTGTTCTGAGGAGCAAATGAGTTCTGGCGTGCAAAGTGCGTAAGGGTGCAAGTGCTCAGGAAACATTTGCTGTTATTAGTAATCACATCAACAGTCATGATTCCATAGGACCCAGTTTGTTTTTTATGAAGGTGAACTTCTCAGAAGGGAGACCACCCAGGCCTCCCTGCGGGGGCTGGAGGGAGGAGGAGGGGACTTCTTAGTACCCACCAAGCCTGTCCAGCAGTCAGGATTCTGCCCTGGATGTCACTCTAAGGCCCCCCACCAGGCTGGCAGCCCACCTACCATACACAGAGATGGCACCCAGAATGACCCAGGCGGACCACTCCGGGAGGTACTTGATGAACACCAAGGCCATGAGCGCGCTGATCATGATGAGGTAGGCCTGCTGCAGCACCAGGGGGCCCTTCCAGTGGATGCACACCATGCCCACGGCCCCGAAGTTCCAGACAGTCAGGAACAGGGTGGGGTAGTCCATGGCCACATTGTAGGTCTTGAGCACTTCCCTGTGAGACCAGAGTCAAGCCCGGGAGCTGGGACACTCACTGGAGATGTCAGACCCTGAGCCAGGCAGTCCAACACCCTCAATCATCAAGTCACATCCTGGCTTTTCCCAATCTCTGGCTCATTTATTAATATCACCTTCCCCACTTCCATGAGCCCTACAGGTAACCCCTTGTTTTCTGAAACAAGGTGGGGAGTACAATGACATCTTGTCCTTGGGCTGGACGACCCTCTGCCCATGGAAAAGGTCTTTGGAAAAGTGTTTTCTCCTGTGCCTCTAGTTTTTTTGGGCCCCTGGGTTAGGCTGATGTCCTAAATCCAGGGCAAGAGAGACCGCCTTCCCCCAAAAGTAGGAGGGACCCAGTCCCAGCCCAAAGATTGGAATGTAAATTTTGAGGCCTTTCTGATCCCTGCCTCAGCCCAGGTCCACAGCCTCCTCTGTGATGACTCTGAGCCTTTGTTTTAAATTAGGAACAAGAAGGAGACGTGTGGCCCAATGAAGGGCTCCATGCAGTGTTAGGGAGGCCAGGCTCCTGGAGTAGCAACAAGGGACACCCTTCCCTCCCGGGTCCTTCAGATCCACCCATGCCACAGGGAAGGGGTCTCAGAGGACTTGCTGCCCCCGGCAGCCACTCACCCAAGGTCCCGCTGTCCCCCAGAGGCCACTCACCCGAGGTAGATGTAGGTGAATAGGAAGAGCAGCATCAGAGAGGACATGATCAGCCAACCGTGGATGAACTGGGTGGAAATAGGCATCGTGACTGCAGGCCCCCAGGCCCCTGATCCTCAGGACTGATATCCAAGCCTGGAAACCCTTCCTCCTTAGGCTCCTCCTGACTATGCTGGAAGGTGGCTGTTTTACAGGTAAGGAGGGCACAGACATTCTACGTGTTCTCTCCGGGTAACCCAGCAAGCATACCAAGGAGCTGGAACTGCTTCCTGTCTAAACACCTAGCTCTCTACTTGTTCACCTGGAAAGAACATGCCTGGCACATTCCAGGCTCCAGAGAGAAAGCTGGCTGGGTCTCTGCTCCCACATGCTGCATCCCCAGGTGTGGGCAGCAAGACAACAAACACATAGACACACACTAGCAGGAAGAGATAAGGGCTGCGAAAAAAACTGGCTGGGGAAAGTGACAAGAGACCCACTGGGTGCTTCTATTTTAGACAGAGTGTGGTCAGGGCAGGCTCCTCCTCTCCTGGCCCAAACAAGGGAGGGTCAGAGGTGAGGGGGGTGTCACTGCAACCCACCTCCTCAGAGGACAGACCCATCAGCCACCAGCTCAGGCCACTGGCTGCCTGCCTGCTCAAAGCGGAAGGGGCACCTCTGGTATGTGCTGATTCTCCTCATCCTACCCGAGCCTGCCCAGACCACCATCACCTCTTGTCTGTGTCGTGGAGTAAATCTGACTGAATGGAGGCTCAGCGGCCTCCTAACAGTTCCTAGCGTGGTCAGGTGACACCTGCTGACCACAGCACTGCCGGCTCTCCCCAGCCCCGCTCCTGGCTTGTCCTCATGCATGCCGTAGCCTCTGCTCCAAACAAAAGCCCTCTACCCTACCTTCCACCATCCACGGCCCCTTCTGCCCCAATCACAAACTCTTCCTCGGTTATAGAGGCAGCTATTCACTAAGAAGCTCCAGCTCCTGGACACCCCCTCCCACTGTTCACCCCCACGCTCACCCCCAGCCAGGACCCAGCTTGTCCCTCTATTTGAGGCTCTCCATCTCTCTCTACCTGCTCCACAGATGCCAGCAGCCTGAATATCCAGTGCTGCATACACCTGCATGTGAACAGTTTAAAATCAGTAATGTCTAGTTCAACTTCCTTTCAGTCCTCACGGCTTCAAAGCCTTCCTTGGGAGAAAAGCCTGAAACTCATGCCTAAATGGATCTCTGTGGATGATTTGGGCTAGGTGGGACTCAACTCCCCTGTTCCTCCCCAGAGCTGCTCTGCAAAGCAGGGCCCACCCAAAGGTCTCTGGGAGTTGGAAGATCTCGGTATAGCAGTTGTATACCCCCAGCTGAAAGGCAAATGGGAAAATAAAAATAAGCTTGGAGGGGAAGTATATGGTGAAAGAAGCTTAAAATAGAAAATCTGACTTCTTCAGAAGGAGAGGCAAAATGAAATTAACTTCTGAATATGAGAAGTGACCCTATGAACGCAGCAAGGAGGAACTCAGTTAAGTGAGATTAAGTGTAGTTGAAAGGACAGGAGTATTGGGTAACCCGTGGTGGGGCAGGAGTGGAGTGGGAGAAAGTACAGGCAAACCTCAGGGATATTCGGGTTTAGTTTCAGATCACAACAAAGTGAGTATCGCATGAAAGTGAGTCACAAATTTTTTGGTCTTCCACCTCATGCAAAAGTTAATGCTTGCACTGAGGTCAATTAAGTGTGCAATAGCATTATATCTAAAAAAAACTGTTAAAAACAGCATTAATTAAAAAATAATGCTGTTGCAAAAATGTCACCAACAGACTTGCTCAATGTAGGTTTGCCACAAACCTTCAATTTGTTAAAATAAAAAAAAAAAGAAAGAAAACACAGTATCTGTGAAACCCCCAAAAATGAGGTAGGCCTGCTCCAAAACATGAGGTCTATTTTACAGGAAAAAAGGAACTCTGCTTAAAAAAAAAACCCAGGGTTGCTTTATAAGAGGCCCTGAGGCATGAAACCCAGGGTTGCTGCAGGAGGGGCCCTGAGGCGAGGCAGGAGGCAGGGAGCAGGCAGACCGGCTCACTTTGTAGCAGCGGTACTTGTAGAGTACAACCAGGAAGATCGTCATGGTGACGATGACGCTGATCATGATGAGGGTGTTGAGCACGGAGTTGAGGAGCCGCTGGCCCACCGAGGGCGTGTCCTCTGAGAACGGCGTGTAGATGCTGAGGAAGGAGACCAGGGCTAGAGGTCTGCGCCCGGCCTGCTTGCACCCTCCACCCCAGGGAGCCTGGACCTGGTGATGCAGGCGCCCTGGGCACCCCTGGCCCTCAGCACAGCACTCTGGCTGCCCTGGTCTGAGTGCTGCCCACCATCCTCACGAGCTGTCCTGTCTCCCTGGCACCTAACCCCAACTTCCAACTGAGCTGATGCAGCCACCCAGGAGGGCCTGACTGGCCTTTACCATGGCCTCCTGCGCCCCCACAACAACTAAAACCTCTCCCGGAAGTGCTTTTCCCAGCTGACCCCACTCTCCAGCTCTGTACCCACTTCCCCATCAAGCCTAGGATGCCTCCAGCCCCACTGCTACCCGTACCCACATCCAACATAGCCCAGTAGCTGCAGAGGCAGCTATAAATAAGGAGGCAATTCACCGATCCCACACTCTTAGGGAAGCAAACTGCTTGCCAAGTTCTCATGGTCTCAACACTTTTCACCTGAGCTGCTCTGAGTCCCCAACAGACTATATGCTTCCTGAGGGCGAGGGCTTCTTTCTCTACTCCTTTCATTATAGAAATCATAAACAAAATGTAACAAAAACTCCCTTAAAAAAAAAAAAAGGTTTCAAGAAGGTACTCAGCAGTGATACCATAGGAGGCTGGGGGAGGGAGCAGAGGGAAGCTTCCCATTTTCCCAGGCTGCCGCTTCTTCCTGGATTCTTTTTATTAAGATAAACAAAATCCCCCTCGCGAGTCTGGGAGTGAGCTAAGAAATCCTGTGGTCCTCTCGAGTTTACATTCCCGGGAGAATGAATGAGAGGCCCAGAGAGAAAGAGATGTGTCCATGGTCATGCAATGACGGTGGCACATCTGGGACAGGACAGAGAACTTACCTCCTGCTGTGAGAGCACGGTGCAGGGGCACTGCACGTGGATTAGCTCACTCAGTTCTCCTGGCAACCTTGTTATCAAACCCATCATACAGATGAGGAAACTGAGGCCAAGAGAGGTTAGGAAGGTGCCTGGACAGGTTGTGTGGACGCGGGCAGCTCCCCAGCCCTGCTCCCTGCTGTGGCTGCCATGGGGCTGCAGGTACAGTGGCCAACACAGGCTGCACCCTCCGCCCCAGTCCCGCTCCCTCACCCACCCCCGGCCCCCAACTCACAGCTGTCCATTCTTCTCCGTGTAGAAGCGCACGGACTTGATGGTGGCCACCACCACGATCATGCACAGCGTGACAGGCACAAACAACATGATCACGTGCTTTGCCCCATATTTGAGGGTCAGCTCCTCCTCCAGGCCCGGCGGCCGCCCAGGAACCCCACTGCAGACGTAGCGGTCAGGGTCCTCGTCCTCATGGTCCTCCTCACTCTCCTGGCTTCTCTGTGGGAAACCATGCTGTGAGGACCACGGAATGCCCCCCACCAAAGGCCTACTGACACAGAGCATGGGTGTGTGTGAACTGGAAATGAGAAGTTTGAAAGTCGCTTTTCAGATGTAAGAACCAGCCTATGGGCTGTAGTTTAGATATGGGAGTGGTGGCATTCCAGGACATTGAGAAGTTTATGAGGACAACCAGAGATTGAGAGTTGGCACTAGCCACCACAGATGCAGGAAGGGAGGCCATGGTGGCCGTGGACGAGGACAGTCTGCAGAATGGGTCTGCAGCAGGTCTGTAGATCTGTCCCCTCCCTCAGTGCAGGGACTCAGGATGCCGCTCAGTTCTGGTCACGTGGCCGTACTAGTTTGGGAGGAGCTAGGCCAGGTGATGGGAGGAGGGCACAGACTAAATGTTTTTGGTTGAAAAATCACAAGCCAGAATGGTCAGCACAAGGGGGACTCTCTTTGACTGTATTAACAAATAAGGCACTGGGAATTTGCAGAGGAAGAAATTACTTTGAAATTTTTGCCCCCGCCAAAATCCAGCATGCAAGCTTTGCAGCTTTGAACCAGAAGCTAACTAGGCATTGAGCATCTGGGAGGATCCAGGTTAGGGAAGGTGGGAGAGTATAAATGAGGAGGCAGCAAAGGAGGGTAGGACGCCTGCCAGACACTGACATACACTGATCTTCAAGAATGTGTTTCAGAATTGTGGCAATTCAGGCTCACTGGCTGCCTTGTTATTTACAGTAACAGCCATGACAAAGCCAAGTGAAACAGAAATCAAAAGTGACTGCTCTTTGGTATCAGTTTTTTGCAGAGAGAATTCCATCTAGATATTCAACTGAGAAGGAAAGGAAAACTGTTAATGGGCAGGAACTGAAACAACTGAAATGCACAAAAAGTCCAGGAGATAAAAGGACAAAACAATGAGCAAGAACTGGCTGAGGAGTCGTGGGGCCGTGGCCTTGAGCTGCTGAGATCGCTCTCGGACCCCAGAGGAGGACAGGAGAAGAACTGAGTTCAAGTTTCAGCAGAGGGGAAAGAGGCTGGCTGGAAGAAAGAAAAATACTAGAATGGGCAAAATAGAGAATGGGATTTAGGCAAATTCAGGTACTGTTTTTACCCTGATGAGGAGGGAGGGAGCTTGACTAAGTGACCCTCCCATGTACACTCTCCACTTGATACTGTTATAACCTCCTGCCTTTTGGGCTACAGAGGCAAGATCACAGTGCAGCACACTCCTCCTGCCACGGGCTGCATGTTTGTGACCCCCAAATTCATATGTTGAAACCTAACGCCCAACATGATGGTGCTGGAGATACAGGCTTTGGGAGGTGATTAGGTCATGAGGGTAGAGCCCTCAAGAATGGCATTCGCACCCTTATAAAAGGGGCCTGAGAGAGCTCCCTAACCCTCTGCCTTGTGAGGACACAGAGGGAACACAGCTGCCTATGAACTGGGAAGTGGGCCCTCATCAGACATCAGCTCTGCCAGCGCCTTGACCTTGACCTCCCAGCCTCCAGAACAATGAGAAATATACTTCTGCTGTTTATAAGCCACCTAGTCTATGGTATTTTAGTTACAGCAGCCTGAACACATAAAACACATCCCCAGCTCCAAAGTCAAACACGAATCAGCTAATCTCTCAGTTCCCATCTCTAGCCATATATCAAAAAAGGTTCCCTCCAGCGGTTCCCTCCTACCGGCCTTCAGCCTCTGTGCTGCCTGCCCCAGCATCCACACTCACCCTCAGGTTCCTGTGGAAACAGTAACATGCATAGGACGGTGAACCGAGGGGGCAGGGTTGGGGTGGATCACGCAGTCTACTACAGAGTCGGTCTGTGACTGGCCGTGCATGTCCAGAATCTACGATCAAGCCCTGTCAGACCTAGGATCCACCACAGTGGCCACCCACCCCTTTGGCCAGTTCTCACCTTCACTTCCCCTCCCTCTCAGAAATGGGATGCCAGTGGCCTGTCTGGAGACCACGGACTGCTGGCAGCAACCTACCCACTGGGCGGCACTCTCTCCATCCTCCAGGCCCTGCCGGCCGTCGTGGCAGGAGCGCGGCGTGGGGCTCTCGGCCGACATCAAGGACGTCCGCTCATCACACACTTCTTCCTCGCTGTCAGAGGCCATGAATGTGAGCATGGCCCTGCCTCCGGAAGTGCCTGGAAAAGGAGCACAGGGGTCTTCGTGCCGCTCTCCTGAGGGGCAAAGGCAGCGGAGGGTGAGAGGTGGCTTTAAGAGCTGGACACAGGTCCTGCCCACAGTGACCATCCAGGATGCATTTGTCAAAGGACGGCTTTAGGGCTTCCCGAGTGGCTCAGCGGTAAAGAAGCCACTTGCCAATGAAGGTGACAGGGGTTCAATCCCTGATCCGGCAAGATCCCACGTGCCAAGGAGCAATGAAGCTCGCGTATCCCAACTACTGAGCCTGTGCTCTAGAGCCTGGAAACTGCAGCTTCTGAAGACGGAGTGCCCTAGAGCCCATGCTCCAAAACAACAGAAGACACTGCAGTGAGAAGACCGCGCACCGCAACTAGAGAGTAGCCCCTGCTCTCAGCAACTAGAGAAAAGCCTGAGCAGCAATGAAGGCCCAACGCAGCCATAAATAAACAAACATTTAAGAGAAAAGGAGAGCCCCCAGGAGCCACGACTGAGACTGCAGTGGTCGCAAGAGGGACTGGCTAGAGAGGATCCAGGCCATGGGGATGAAACTCCAACCAGAAAGGTCAGGGCCACTCTCAACTCTCAGCACACTCATTCATTCAATCAACAAATATCTGACCACCACCTATCATGTGCCAATGACACGTTTGTCCTAAAAGAATAAAAACCAATCCAATGTGGCAAATTCTATAATCCAAGTGTTCACTAAGAGGACAAGAAGGGACTAAATCTCAGAGATCAGGAGTGTTTTCTGGAGAAGATACCATCATGTGATGGACACACACTCTCCCAGGTGGGAGGGCATGAAGAATGTCTCAGCCTGAGCTTGACTGCCAGGGTTGGGCAGGGGGGCACTGCTGTGGAGGAGTTAAGGGTCTCTGGTGCCATGTTAAGGAGGTGGGCTTTGTCCCCCAAGGACACAGTGACACATCAGGTCTCTGGTTAGAAATCTCAGTCTGGTCACGGACTGAAAAAGGAGTAGAAAGAAGGAAAGGTGACCTCCGTGGAGACAATGATGGGGTGTGAACAGGGCCTAAGGTGGCAGCAAGACGGATGGAAGTGAGGGGACAGAATCCACAGAGACAAGATGTTGGGGACATAACAGGACAGAGTCCAGGACAATGACAGGCAGGGAGTAGGATGGAGGAGGTGGGAGAACAAGGTGTCGGGGGAAATCTGCTGAATGTAAATGGCTGAAAGGGGGGAGCTGCCTGGAAGGTGGCTGAGGGCCATGGTCTGAGCTGGAGGGGAGGGAGATGAGAGTCACAGGTTTAGATGCTGTGGCCACGGGAGCAGTGAGCTGAGACCACGAGAGAGGAGCGTGTGTATGTGTGTGTGTGTGTGTTGGGGAAGTATAGCTGTGGGCAGGACCCACAGGAAAAACCAAAGCTGAAAGGGTCACACAGGAGGGAGCCTGTCCCCAGAGACTGCTGCACTGCCCTGAGCGGTGTGTGGACTCAGCAGTACCATGTGGACGCTGGGGCAGCCCGAACCCCTACCAACACCCTGGGCAGGTCAGCTGAGCCACCAGCCGGGCCAGCTGCCCCATCACCTGCCTCCTGGGACCCTGGGGAAGACTCATACCAGTAGGAACAGTCAGGTCTGTTCTTGTCTCAATGTTCATCTCCATGTCAGTTGCCTTCAGGATTTATGATCATTTTTACTCCATTTCTATATTGTCTTTTTTAAGTATATGGACCATTTCTAAAGTGTTTATTGAATTTATTACAATACTGCTTCTGTTGTATGTTTTGGTTTTTTGGGGGGAGGGGGCCACAAGACTTGCGAGATCTTAGTTCCCCAACCAGGGATCAAACCCACACCCCCCGCACTGGAAGGCTAAGTCTTAACCACTGGACCACCAGGGAAGTCCCTATGATTTTCAAGAGGAGAAGGCAGGCAGGTTCCTTCCACCGAGGCAGCCAGTTCTGTTCATCTTGGCAGAGGCTCTGAGGCTGCAGCTTTGTTTTGAAGACAGTGTCCCAGGCCGTGGCCTACATTACTTCCAGCTGGACTTCAGCTCCATCCCCAAGTCCAGGCCCATGGCAGAGCCTGATCCTACTCACCGACTCAGGCCCTTACAGGCTTCCCCGTAGCTCTCACAGGTAATTCAAAATGAGCAAGCTAAGCTCCCCTGGCTTCAGCAGAGAAACGACACGTACAGGAGGGACAGCAGTGGTGACATCAGTAGGAAGCAAAATAAGGTCACTTCCAGGAGAGGTGACGAGGATGCTGTGCTACTGGAGTTAAGACTAAGTCGGGGGAGGGGGGCAATCTATCAACAGTGGGGAGTAGATGTCTCAAGTCTTTAGGAGAAAGAGGGACATGAGACGAGACACAAAGGCTAAGAATATCTTGCCAGGCAGAGTCTGAAGTAGGTGGGCACCTGGAAGTAACTTCGTAAACAGATGGCGGGATGGGGGCCTTGGCTGAAATTATGAAACACCCAGCAGGCTGAGGTGGCTGAAGTGTGGGGACCACGGAGGCAGTGACAGGAGGCGGGACCATCTGAGGGAGGGGCGTGGGGGCCCGGCCGGAAGGAGGAGCTGAAGCTAGCGGCAGGAGGGGGCAGCCAAGGTTTCTGAATTAAGGAGGGATGTGACCAGAGTGTGCTGTGTGGGAGCAGAGGGGTGGCTGAGCCCTCCTGCCTCTTCCCCAGAGCCCCCAGGAGCAGTGCCGCCCAGGACCCAGGAGGCGGATCTGCTTCTCAGCACCAGGACCTTGGGACCAGCAGAGTCTACCTAAGAGCCCAATTAGAGGGGACGGGGCTGTGAGACCTTGGGAAATCCTTAGGGTCCTTCATCTATGGTAACAGTAATGAAAGAGATTACCTAACAGAGACCCAGGCAGAAAAACTCTAAAGTGCTCCTCTGCAAGGGTGGGCCCCGCTAGATAAATCCTAAACATACACCTGCCTGGGCCCAGGAGATGCCCTCACTGACCCTGTGGCAACGCTGAGTCCATTCTTACTCAAACAGCGACAGGGAACACAGAGCTAGCAGGCTGCACCTCAAGCTAAATTAGGACATCCTATCTGGAACAGTGTAGCAGCTCTTTCAATACTTTGTTTTGTCTGGGCTGTGAATTAATAATTTAGTTACCATCTCCCTCCTTCTGTTCTTCCCACGCCTTTAGAGGCCCTGGGATTTATCTTCACAGTGACTGAAGGAGCAGGTCAGGAATTCCTGCATCTAAACGGGAGGGCTGCGGCCCCCAGGGCAGAGGCGAGCTTACCCTTCAGAACCACAGCTGCCAGCAGCCAGGCTGCCTCAGTCCCTAGAGCAAAGCACGAGGGGACTGGACAAATAAGAGGCTAAGATGCTTCTTGATGGAGAAAGGGAGCTACAGGGCAGGTAGGAAGAGAAAAGCAGGGGATCCACGATCAAGTAGGAGTTAAGTCCTTTCCAATTTCCATTTCTTCAGCCAGTCACCAAATCCCAGGAAAACACGTCTGCCTCCCAAAGTCTGTGGACACACCCAGGGAGAGCACATTTAAAAACAGACTATATCCCTTCCATGTGAAACTGCAGTGCAGAGGGAGAAAGTCAGAAAACTACAAAACATGCTTTGCCAACCACCACATGTAATGTATGGCCTCCTCAGCAGAAAACAAATACTCCCTGGGCAGATTCCTTCCCTCCGTGGATGCTGCCCGGGACCCCCAGAAAAGCAGGGCAGGGAGGGGTTGCAGCCAGAAGAGCTGGTCTTGGCTGCTGGAGCCAAGGCATCCTAATCACAGCCCTCTAGCCCTGGGGAGGTGGGGACAGCTGGAGGCACTTTCTGGGGCTCCCAGCATCTGAGGGCATGGCTTAGGACTTTCAGAAAGCTGTAAGATGCTGGAGATGCTATTTCGCAATGTGGCCCAGGCCACCTGAAGGGTGGTGGCAGAGCAGCTGCTGAGCCCTCACTGTGTGCTAAACACGTCAGGAACGAGGTACAGTCAGTCTCCTGCGGACGAACCTTCAACCTGCACACTTTCAGAGATTCGAACACGAGTTCGCAAGCCCAGGAGCGTGAGTTCACATGGCTGGCGTCCTTTTAAAGGTACTGTACTGTAAGATTAAAAATTTTCTGTTTCCTTTTTATGTATTATTTGTGTGAAAAGTATTATAAACCTTTTACAGTATAGTACTATATAGCCAATTGTGTTAGTTGGGTACCTAGGCTAACTTTGTTGGACTTAAGAACAAACTGGATTTATGGCCTCTTGGAACAGAACTTGTTTGATGCAGGGCACTTACTGTACTGCCATTATTTCTCATTTTACAGATGAGGAAAAAGATTTTAAAAGTGATAAGTTCAAAGTCATGCTTGGACTGAGGTGGTCAGGTTCTGTGCTCTTAAACACTATGTTAGGGTGCTAACTTCCAATGCAGATCCTAAGTTTCATTCTGGCCAAAGGTCCAGGGATCTGCATTTTGAGACAGTCCCTGGGCGATTCTCAGGCTGGTGTTAAACCCTCCCTGGAGCTGCTCCTGCCAAGTAATCAGATGCCCCAGCCTGGGCCCAAACTTGGTGCTGAAAGTGTCCAGTTACAGTTCACCTCCCTGTCGCAAGGGCAGGGCCTCACGCACCTACCTTAGCACACTTACTTGCTGCTCTGCACAACTTGCTCGCTGAATGGGGGCGTGAAAGAATGAGCAGTCCTTTCTCCTGAATACCCAGTGCTTGGTCTGAGGTCGCCTGGGGAGGAAGACCAACAGCAGCTTTCTCAGACTAGGAGAGCTGCAGAGGGAGAATGCAGTGATCTGACTGACAAAGTATGCATGCAGTGCCCACCTGGATGGAGGGTGTGAAAAAACTGGATCTCAAGCATCCCTGGTACAAACTGCACCAGCCTTTTTGAAGGCAGTAAACATCAAGAGCTTTAAAAACATTCATACCTTTTGATCCTGAAATGCTACTTCTCGGAATCTGTCCTACGAAAATAATAAAAGATTTATCTGAAAACATGGTTGTTGCAGTCATTTATAATTTTTTTAAGCGAAAATGACTAAGATATCTGGCTCTGTATGATAATATATCCATCCGATATATGACTAATAAAAATCTTACTTCAAAGAATATTTACTAACATGAAAAAAAGCCAAGATGCTAAATTTAGTAGATTTAAAACCACAGATATAAGCATCTGAATTTTCTTAGAAAATGTATATATATATATGAAGGACTGGCAAGAAATATTATACAACATTAAAGGTGCTTATCTTTGGACAGTGAGATTGTGGGTGATAGATGATATTTTTCTACATTTTTAAAAACTTCTATAACAAAACATGAATTGTGTCTGCTGTTTTTTGTAAAGCTATTAACTTTTAAAAGGGAAATAACAGGGGCTTCCCTGGTGGTTCAGACAGTAAAGAATCCACCTGCAATGTGGGAGATCTGGGTTCCATCTCTGGGTCAGAAAGATCCCCTGGAGAAGGGCATGGCTACCCACTCCAGTACTCTGGCCTGGAGAATTCCATGGACAGAAGAGCCTGGCAGGCTACAGGCCATGGGGTCGTAAAGCTATTAATTTTTAAAGGGAAATGACAAGTATCAACATTTAGACAGATATTCTTCCATGCTGCCTTCTCCCACATCCCCTCTCACTGAACTCGGGGACCTCGGGAAGCCGCTTTCACACCTTCTCCTAACCCCTCTTGTTACCTGGCTCCTCAAGGAGAACAGAGCAGCTGGGATGGATTCCTCTGGCCTCTAAGTTGGAAGTGGAGCCTGAAGGTACTCTGCAATCCTTGGAGGAAAAAATGCAGATAAACAGTCTTGCTAGATGTTTGTCCACATCAGAGCACTAGAGATGCCAAGAACTCCCGCCGGGAGGCTGACTCACAGGCCGGTGGGGGTGGGGCTGGGTGACTCTCCTCCTGCTGATGTCAAATCCCATCAACCACATAGCAACCAGCTCTCCACTCTCTCCAGGGAGCAACAGGAAAATGCAAAGAAGCCAATGGGAGGAACAGGTGCCCCAGACTACATCCTGGAAACCCTTCCAGGCGCTGTGGCTGAAAACTCCTTGGATTAGGATGTAAAATCAAACATCCAAAGAAGCCACCGTTCACTCCCATTAATCAGCTGAATGGGATCCAAATGCTGAATGAGCCAAGCCAAGGGAGTCGGACCCAGGGAATTTCCCCAACCTTGCCTGTGTCAGCAGTTCCTGCAATTATTATGGAACCCTGGTGACCCAGTTTCCTCAACCTGATTTTCATTTCAGAAAAATGCAAAGGTTCTGACCTTAAAATTTAAGGTCAATGGACCTAACTAGGAAATAGATTCCTACTTAAGTAAGGAAATCGATTTTTAAATTCCATCGTAAAGAAGAGTGCCTCAAGGAAAAACTTTTGGTTCCAAAAGAAAATTGGGAGTCAACAGGTGGGGCCAAAGAGAAAGGCTTGGATCCGAGTACTCGCTTTCTTTGTCTCCACAGGCCTAACAGTACTTCTTTCTTTCAGTATTGAAGTATAGTTGACTTACAACATTAAAGTAGTTTCAGGCGTACAACATAGTGACTTAAAATTTTTTACAGTTTACATTCCATATAAGGTTACTGTAAAACACTGGCTGTATTCCCTGTGCTATACATTACATTCTTGTATCATTTATTTTATACATGGTTGCTTGTCCCTCTTAATCCTCTTCACCTATTTTGCACCTCCCCCTTTCCTTCTCCCACTTGGTAAACACGATATGCTTGTCTATTTTTGCTTTTTTTTTTGCAATTCTACTTATGATATTTATTGAAGGAAAACAAAAATACTAATTCAAAAAAATATATATGCACCCCCATATTCATTGCAGCATTATTTTTTGTTTTTAATTAATTTATTTTTAATTGAAGGATAATCACTTTATAGTACAGTGTTGGTTTCTACCAAACATCAACATGAATCTGTTTCTGTTTTGTCTTGTTTGTTCATTTTAATTTTCAGTGCTCCCTCAAAGAGGGCAGCAATGGTTTTAAAAAGGTCACTTTCCGTGGTCACACGGCTATTTCACAGAGCTCCCATGACTCCTGGGGCATTCCCAGCCTTCCCGTATACTAGGTGAGGAAATTCCCTTAGAAATTCCCACAGCTTGCCTGCCTGCCTATTTCCCCTGGCCCAGGCACCAGGCACCAGGCCCTGGCTGACCGTCATCCATCTGTCCATCCATCCAGCCCATACCGTGATGCACATCACCTGCCGGATGGTTTTCCCCAGAACAGGGAGGCGGCCTCAGCTGGAGCAGGGGCCCACATCCCACAGGGAGGCCCTGAAGTACCGCTCCACTCCCCTGAGTCACAGGCCCCAGGCGACCCTCTGGGGTCGCCTAAACCTTGACCCAAGCTCTAGATTTCCCTCTGCCCTTTTCTACTCAAAAGCACACAGTAAACATTTTCTCTCACTTCCTGAAGAAGCCTGGAATAGGGGCGGTTTGGAAGTGACAGAGAGATGCTGCAAAGGTAGCCACACTGGCCACGTGCTACCGAGTCACCTTTGAGCAGCCTCCCATAAATCGTGTTTTTGCTTTCAATGAAAAGCAGCAAGACAACGATCAAAAGCTGAGCCTTAGAAACGGAGAGAGTTTGAATCAACTAGCCGACTGATCTGAAACACATACTTGGACAATTTAACTTCACACAGCCCATTTCCTCTTGTGTAAAAAGTAAGATAGGCACGCTTTGCAAGATGACTAGAGCTAATGTGTAATGTGTCCAGCACAGAGTAGATGTTCAATAAATGGTAATTATAATGAAATAATAATTACACAGTGAGAGGGGACAACAGAAGCCTGTTGATGGCCCCCTTGGAAAGCTACAAAAATGCTAAACCAGCAGACATGAGTTGAGCACCAAGGTCACACCTCATTCAGGCCCTGGGTGTTTCCTCTTCAGCCCCAGTCCAGGGCATGCTGGCAACACGAACATTTTGTCAAACAAATGGGCCTGTCCAGAGACTGATATCAGAACTGGCAAGGACCTTCAGGGCCATCCGGTCAGCACCCCATTTCACACTTGGGAAAACTGAAGCCCAGATGGACAAAGGGACAAGGGCCCATGACCAGAAGCCACAGTTACAGCTCAGGTCTCCAAACTGCCAACGAGGAGCTCTTCCCTGCAGCTCCAAGTACTTGAGAGGGTCACATACTCAGTGGATTTCCAAGAATACTCAATGAAGGGAAAATTCCGAAGGCATAATATTAACACAAAAAGCAGGATACAAAACTTCGTCTTCAAAACTTCTAATATTTTAATACATGAATACAGGTATGTGCATAAAGTACTGTAAAGAGGTTCATGTTAAGAGTGGTTCTTTGGACTAGGGGCTAACAGATGACTTGAAGAAAAAAAATCCCAAATTTTCTAGAGTGAAAACATATTGCTTTCATTTTTAAAAAGTCACAAAGTTTCTGGTTAAGGTACAGCAGAAGGTGAGCGCCCTTTAAACTCTCCTTCCCGTTGCTCCGGAAGACTGTATTTTAGCAAAGACTAATGAGCAACCCTTTCTCCCAGGCAATGGAAAGAATGGACAGTAATCATCTCCCTCCCGGACATCCGGTCTTCACTGAGGATCACTTTGAAACTACTTCTGCCCAGACTGTAATCACATGGTGGCCTCACCACTTCCTGGTCAAGAGCCAATGGTGATTCTACAAGGCTTGAAGGCCAGGTCAGATGCAGCCAGCAAGGTGAGGAGAAACCCCCAGGCTCTGGCCAGGGGCAGCGTGGAGGGTATGCCAAGCTCAGAGCTCTTGCCTTCCACCCCCAGCCCACCCTCAGCTGCTGGAGTCCAGGGACAGGTGGAAATATTTGCAGAAACATTTGTTGCCTTGCCAGTCTTACCAACTAAACAGTGTCTAAAAGTCAAATCAACAGCTGAAAAACAGCCAAATGTGTCTTCAATAGAAACATAAGGTGACCTATACACACTGTGCTTTAGTTTCTTTAAAAAAAATTTTTTTTTGGCTTTGCCAAGTAGTTTCTAACGGAGATCCTACAGCAATGTCCTGGGCAGTCGTGCAGGCACATGGGAGGGGCATGAGAGTGGGAGGTCTCCCAAGCAAAAACTCAAAAGATGCAGAAGACACAGTCAGCTGGGTTCAAATGCTGGCACTCACAGTCACAGAAGCCACCCAACAGGACAAGGTCCTTGATTCCCTGAACCTTAGTTTCCCCTTTCCACTTCAGTGTGATAGCAACTCTTTAGATAACTGTGACAACTACTGTACAAAATGGCTTTTTATTGTATATAACAAACTTATAAATGATGTTATTGTCATTACTACCATCAATGATGTAAGAGAGGGGCCAAGGTAGGTGGAACCTCTCATTCCGGCAAAGCCTGTGTGCATGTGTGCAGAGGGGCTAGGGTGGGGGTGGGGGTGGGGCAAAGGGCCCCCAGGTACATTTGAGCAGCAGCCTTTGGCCAGCCTCTGGCTCAAATGTTCCTTGTCCTCCTCTTCCTCAAACAGACAGGCTCAGAGCATTCACCTCCCAACCCTGCACACATCAGACTCTTGACTTGGTGCACAAATACTTCAACACCAAATGATACAGAATTTTTCCTGAAAACCCAAGGCATCATCTTCCCACTCCACAGTAACATAGCATGAAGTCCTGCACCTCCAGCCCCTGCCCTGAATGCTCCCACATTCACCCAAGGCAAGAACCTGGATGGCCTGCCTCATGAGTGGCCGAAGCTGCAGCTTTGAGCTGCAGACAGGACTTCAGGCCCCTTCACCAGCTGGGCCCAGAAAACACAGCTGCTAACACACTTTCCTGCCCTCACACAGCCACGTTCACCCAGAGAGGAACCTGAGGCTCACACACCTGCAGCAGCTTATACAAAGTCTTTAATTACTACCAACGGTCTTAGCCGAAATCCTTGGAGACTCAGGTGTCTACAGAAGGGGTTATGTTGACTCAGGGCCATCCATGTGGGAAGAGCTCGGGTCCATAATGATCAATTACTCTCAGGACAGGCTGGCAACCCACGCAGTCAATTTTGGGTCAATCTGGCTCTGCGATTGCTCTGGATGGGAACCGCCTCTCAGGCTCTCCATCTGTGAACGAGGATGCAGCTACTGCAACAATTCACAGTTCATACCGTCCAAAGGGAATACTCATTAAGTCACAGGCTGGGGCATTTCATCCAGCTGTCCAAGTGCTGAGGTCTAGTCCCAGGTCTGGACAAGAGAACTAGACTCCAGGACAACGGGTTCGAAGCCTGGCTCTCCTATATCCTACCTGCGTGACCTTGAACAAAGTCACTTTAGCTTTGAAGGCTGAGTTTCTTCATTGATAAAATTTGGTATGGGAATTAGCTCCTGTTTCGGGTTCATTCTGCTTTTCAAAAGCTAGATCCTGGGAGTCTCCTCAGAGCTGTAAATGCTTGATCAAAAAACAGCCAAACATCGCAGATAACGAAACTAGGGGCTCCAGGCCCCGTCCTTAGGTCCTGTTCCTCACGCCGGCGGAAAGACCTCCGCCTCCCCTCCTGCCACTGCCAAGCAGAGCCCGGGGCCGCGTGTCGCAGGCCGGCAGGACTGAGCGCCCATCAGGTGCCAGTCAGGAGGGAGGAACACAGTGCCGCGTCCGCACGCCTTTGAGACCCACGTGCGCTGCTCCTTTAAATGTCCCGGCCCTTTAACAGATCGCACCGCGCCCACTCCGGCGGGGGCTCCGGCGGCGGGGAGAACCCGGCCCGGCTGAAGGCCCGAGGCCTGGAGCGGCTCCCTGCGCTCCTTCCACTGGCC